AAATCATGAAATCATCAAACTAGCATAAGATTAAAATTCTATAGGGCAGCAACAAACCGTCAATAACAAACCATTGCAACACTAAATCAACATTTGCAATAAACATCCTTTAATAGAATAAAAAACATGATAATCAAACAACACCCACACCAATTAAGCAAAACAATCATAGTTAATAATGAAAAATGAGATCAACCACTAACCAAACTAACTATATCAACATGAACAACTAAACCACAAAACCCTTCTTATGTGCTAGTTCCCCTTCTCAAACAAAATTCTTATGTATATACATACTCCTAAATGCTTAGGGATATTTTCATATATACCGCTCAATTCTTATGTGTATACATACATAACACCTAATCTTCAATTCTTACATGCATACCACCTTACCTATGCATGAAATGACCCATTTCACTTTTTAAAAATTAAAATGAGGAAGAATGGCGTGAATAGACTTACCTTCTTCAATGTTTTTTGATAGGAGCAGAGCGAAATGATAAGAAGCATGGGAGTTTCGGTGGTCTCAGTAAGCCGCATTCCGGTCGTTGCCTTCCTAGCTAGCTGTAATGGTGATTGTATCATGAAGGTTCGTTCACGATAGCGAAATGATAAGAAGCATGGGAGTTTTGGTGGTCTCAGTAAGCCACATTCCGGTCGCTGCCTTCCTAGCTAGTTGTAATGGTGATTGTATCATGAAGGTTCGTTCACGAAGGTGATGATTTTGAGTGAAATCCGAAAGGGAGGGGGAAAAGCGACAGGCGAGGGGTTCGATAGGGAGGGAGGATGCAAGGGTTTCGGGCATAGAGGGGAGAGGCACAGAGAAAAAAATAAGCTTAAGCGTGCAGGATATGAATTTTAGAGCATTTACGTCGAATTTCCGTTGAATTTGTGTCGGACAAATTCAACCTGATTAAGAATTCATGGAAGACTTGTTATTTGCGGCGGACTTTTCATTGTATTTGTGTCAGACGTGATGCGACTCTTTTAAGTTAAGTATGTGCGTCGAATTCTTAGACGTAAAGTTAATGAAAAGAACGTCACAATTCAGATTTTGGTTTTGTTGTTTTTAGAATGCCTTTTGCATCGACTTATTGGACACAAATAGATGTAAATTTCTCCGCAATATCAAAATCTATTTTTTGTCGTATTTCAAATGCAAATTCGACGCTAATATTATTAGATGCTATTTTCAACGTCTTCTGTGGTGTTCGTTGAGTGTATCTGATAAATAATTTTGTCACGAGGAATCAACTTTGGAATGAAATTAAGGTAGACTGGGCGACCCTCAATAACGACCACTGAAGAGAGACCTCTTTTTCTGTGGAAGGATCTGACCCACTATCAGATGTTCTTTCACACAAAATATTTAAGGTAGATTTCAAAGCTGCAGTTCCCCATGCTTGTTTGGCCATCTTATTGTCAGGATGCAGTTGAACTGACCTTAATTTTAATACCCATATTATATCATATAAACTTCCATAAATAGCTCAAAACATTCTCTTCTCTAACATATTGAATTTCTCTCAACAATGGAAACTTAGGAGGTAAACTGTATGTCATGAAATTCTCTTATCTGGAGTTGTCATGTGTCTAGTGTCAGTTGCTGGAACTTATGACCCTCTTCTGCAACCAATGTCAGTTCTACTGAAGCTTCTCTTATTGCTTGCAAAAAGGTAGTCGTTGCACCACATCCGCAATTTTAGCATGAACATTTGTTAACTCGGACTCACAACCTTCTAGAACAACTAATGCAAATCCCGTTGGAGTCTCTCATTGGTTCAACTTGAATCGTTGACATCTATTTCTCTTCAGCTAAAAGTTCTCTGAAGGCTTCATCTCCAATTTTACTGTCTTTTTTTTTTCAATTGCTCCCTACCCAGCGAAAGAGATTGCTTTTTCTATTTAGGCAATCAAATGTCACGCAGCCAAAAACGTGACACTTGAAGCATTTATCGGTGGGGATAAATTTGGGAATACTGGCGGTCTTCACTTTTTCTTCACTCTGTACGGGTTCCTCCTCTGGTTGAGTCAGCTTAAGTTTTCCACTGGTTCTACTTTGGATGCTTGATCGTGTGGTTGAACTCTGCCCGTAAGATGAGGTAGTCACTCAGTGATATTGTTGTAACTGGTGAAGTCTTAATAACACATTCTACCTATGATGTGTGGGTAGGTACTTCCGTTGCATCTCCCTTTTCATTTTAAACCAGATAGTGATTGCGGATTTTCTTTCATACTATCATAGGTGCTTCAAATTTTCCTACCACTGCAACACATTCTTCTTCAACTTGATGGCGACTAGTTTAACTATTATGTCCAGTGGAATATATTTATATTCAAAGACTTGATCCGCTATTTGGAGCCATTTGATGAATTCTTTTGGATCCTGTGACGATCAACATCCTATAAATCCATCTTTGATTCAGGTCTCAGTTTCTCCTCTGATATTTCATGCACAATCTTTGGTATAGTGGTTCTTCATCATTGAAAACTGCATGGTGGAAAGGATTCACCTCATCCTTTTGTTCCAACGATTTATCCTTATGGCTACAGTTGACCCTTCCGAATTACCTCCCTCAAAGGTGGCAAGTCTTTGTTGTAGTTAGAGGATTTTCCGTTGTATATCCTTTATACAAAGTTCCCGACCTACTACCATCATTTGTCTCCTTGGTGGCATGGCTAGGGTTTAGATTTGGAGGGGGTGAAATGGGTGTATAAGGGTGGTTTTGAGTGGAGAAAAAAATTTGAGGGGTGATTTTGGTAGCTCGAGGATAATACTAGAGTTAGGCCAACTCTAATATCAAATGATACCCTAGTCTAACCAAGCAATAATGAGAAAATAGTATTATTTCTGAATTCAAATAGGAAAGTACAACCTAACAAATGAAAACAGGAAATTGCAACAAGGTAGGGTAGGAGAGTAGGTGGGGGGTACAGCTGAAAAACAATATTTCCTGGCTATCTTGGGCTGCGGTAGAAAACCTGGGTTGCGGAAACAGTAGGAGGCGATAAGGAAGGTGGTTTTGGGCAGCAACAACAAGAGGGGGGTGTGTGTTGAAACAGTACGAGAACAATCATACGCACTATTCTGGGTGGCAACAGTGAGAAGGGGAGGCTTGAACAACAAGGAGACGACAGGGAATGTGATTCTAGCCGGCGACAACAAAAGATGGGTCATTGGACAACAGGGGAATAGACATGAGCACTGTCCTGGGCGGCGACTCGAGTTTGGGGCAATGTAGGAAGGATGGGTAAGGGAAAGGAAGGTGGAAGGATAGTCACCACCTCAGGAGCCAAATGACTGGGGAAGGTGGCAACAAGGTAGGGTAGTGGACCAGGTGGCGGGTAACAGCTGAAAAACAATATTTCTTGGCTATCTTGGGCTGCAGTAGCAAACCGGTGGCGGAAACAACAGGGAGGCGACAAGGAAGGTGATTTTGGGCGAAAACAACAAGAGGGGAAGACGCTGGAACAACAGGGGAACAACCATAAGCATTGTTCTGGGCGACGACAACGAGGAAGGGGAGGTTGGAACAGCAGGGAGATGGCAGGGAATGTGATTCTGGGCGGCGACACCAAGAGATGGGCAGTTGAACTACATGGGAATGACACTGTTTTGGGAGGTAACGGCGAGGAAGGGGAGATGCAGGAAGGATGGGGAGGGGAAGGGAAGGGAAGGGAAGGGAAGGGAAGGGAAGGGGGAAGAATAGTCTAATATTAACATTTCGTGTGCTATGTTTGTAATTTTTTTTTAAAAAATAATATATCATATAAGTATATAATATTTAATAAATTTTTTTTATTCACAAATTAATTTGTTTATGAATATTAACAAATTTGTTGGATTATGTTCAAATTTAATTTATTTAAATTTCTAGTTTTGAAAAGATCTTCAAACTTACTTTTTTTTTATTAATTTGAAAAATATGATTAAATATTATATAAAAAAAAATTAAAATTATTCATCAAATGTATTGATTCATTTACGGCCATAGTCCCAGCATCTTTATAGAGCATAAATTTTGTTAAGTAATCGTACAGGTACATTAGATCTCATTACCATTGTTTTCGTTGTAGACGTCACATTCATCAGAGCTTGTTATCTTGATCGTCTCGCACTACCACGCTCTGAAGGCGATCATACAAAGAAGTTGCTTTCTAGTTCATCAAGTAGGGAAGACGAGAGTGTCAGATTCACTCAATCTTGTGCTTCCAAATTGTATTTATGTTGGGGTCTAGCCTAAATTTGATTTGAATCTAATTCTGAAAAATAATGGTGTTTGGTAGCCCATTTTTAATATAATTTGGCCATAATAATTCCTCCCAAACATAAAAAAAAAATAAAAATAAAATTTCGATTTCCAGCACCGTCTTCTCAACCGCTGTTCGATCTTCTGAAACATCATTTTGTCTATAAATCAAAATTTTATAAATCCCACATAAAAACCAATTTAATAAATTTACTGCATCATTTCTCATGGCTCGAGTGACAACTTGACCAAAATTCTAAATTTGATAAATCGTAAATCCTGCAATCCGCAAGCCAAACTAGAAATTATTCTAGAGTATTTACGAAGTTTTACATGCGGACTCCAATAATTTGCGGCCACGTGGAGATTATTAGAAAATTATTATGTTGTTATTTGAGAGTTATTGCAGAGATAAATGCATAGAGGTTATTAAAGTGAAATCGCGGGAGTTATTAGAGATTATTTGAATGAAACTGTAGAAATTATTAAGTGAAACTGTTCAAATAGCCTTAGCCTCCCCGCTTCCACTCCTCTAACTTCCGCGGCACAGTTTTAATTTTAGATTTGCTCGATATAACACATGACATATTACAGAAAAAATATTACTTCAAGAGTACTGATGCATCAGTACTCCAATGAGGGTGATGCCTACGTGGCACCCCCTCTTAGAGTACTGATACATCACCTAATATTTTTTCGATATTACACTACTGTTAATAGAATAATTTGCAGAGCCGAACACTTTCGGTCTATGAGGTTTCGGTTTCTCCTCCCTCTATGTTTTTTTTAAAACAAGACGACGAGTAGTGGGAGTTGAAGGACCGTTAGCCAAGGGTCGGGTTGAAAGGTCCCCACCCTAACCTCTCTTCTCTCGGTAAAGGAAAGAGATGGAAAAAGAAACTTTTGCCCCTCAGTGCTCTTATATGAGAAAGATGGATGGAGCCGCCAATAGCATTTCACCTCACCAACTCTTCTTTTACTTCCTTTCCTTTATCTTCTTCATCCACACATTTCTGCTCCATAGCATGAGATGGAAAGCTCCTCAGCTTCTGCGCGTGTTGAGTCTTTCCCAATTGGGCTTAGAGTTCTCGTTGTTGATGACGACCTAACGTGGCTGAAAATTTTAGAAAAGATGCTCCGGAAATGCTCATATGATGGTAATTTTTCGAGAGCATGTTTTTATTTATTATTTCATATTTTTTCCTCAGTTTGGTTTGCCATATTTTCTGTCAAATCAAAGCTTTGGTGTTCATTTTAGGTTCATGAAGGATTTGTGTTTGTTTAAATGCCAAGTAGCTAAATTGGTCTTTTCCTGTAATCCTCCTTTCCATGTATCATCGAAGGACTGATTTTTCCCATTTTTAAAAGGTTGATTGTGAGCTTTGTAACATAGTTTTATCAATTAAGTGACAAAATTGCTTTTTTGGCTTCGTTGGTGCTTTGTTACAGTCCATAGAGCTAGTTGATTTTTATTTTATTTTATTTTATTTTATTTTATTTTTTTGAATTAACAAATGGAAGTTTTTATTCCATCACTATGAATTTATTGAAAAACTCTACTTTTTGACGTTTTATAGTGTTTTTATTCAAGGTTGATGTGAGAACTTAGAACAAATTTTCTTGGTCATGCGGATAAAGGCCTCATCTGGTATTTGCTTTTCAGCTGTTTTAAGTTCCAAAACATTATATCATGCGGAATGTGCATGTAAATGCAAGTAATGCATCAGATCCTATTTAATGGCTTCATGATTGATGTGTCATAAAAATAGTTTCCTCTAACTTTGGGGAAAGCAACAAATTATTATTAAATTCGCACTAAATGGAATTTTTCTTAGGGAATAAGTCCTCGTGATTTTCTTTCGTTTTTGTGATTTTCATGTTAAAATTCTGTTCTTGCATTATTTTTCCTTTTCTGCTTTTGTGAGAGTACTTTGTTTAAAGCTAATACTACTTGCAAAACAGCTATTGCATATATTTGAGAGTAGAGCAGAGCACAGAACCAAAACAATATTTAAACTGAGCCTAAATTTTAGCTAAAATGGTGAAATTTAACTTCAGAATTTTCACTTTTACTCCAAGGCTTTATGGTCAAGGGTAAAGCATAATCCCAATTTCCAATTTCTAACAAATTCCAACCTGATTTTTTTTCTCCTTGAAGTGAATGCGCCAATATTACTGTGACAGTAGAATAATCTTCAGCTTATAATTAGAATAATAACGACAGTTATCCATGTACATATTTTGTTATGCAATCTAGTTGCACAAGATGTTGATTTTTTTTTTGTTTGGTTAACGTTTGGTTTGCTGAAAGGGTAATGTAGTGTAAAAAGAATGCATTGTAAAAGTAATGTATTATATTTAGAATATTTGGAGTTGTTCGTCTCAGATGTAAAAAAAAAATGCAAACCTTCATATTTTCTTATTTATGTGAAGCAAAATGAAACAAAGTGAAATACGGGTCGATAACAAGCGGGCGGTCAACTGGTGGCTGCAGCAATCACACATTTGGCCGTGGGAGGGCAAGTGAGTAGGTGGCACTTCCAACGGTGACAGGCAGCGATCAAGAACAACAAGTGGTGGCAAGGTGTGAGTAGGCAACAAGCGGTGTCCAGGAGTGAGCAGGCAACAAGTGGAGGTGGAAAACTATTGGCCACCGATGGTTGAAGGCGAGTTGTTACTGGTGGCTAGCTGTTGTGGTAGACAGCAGCTGACAGAGGGCAACAGTCAATGGTAGCTGGTAGCCCAAGGAGACCTGCGACGGGCAGACGACAACTAGAGGTGAGCGTTCAAAAGGTGGCAAGCAGCGAAGAGTAGAGGCAGTCAAGTGGCCAGCAGCCGATGACCAACAACACTTTACATGCAGCTATGTCTTCGGAATTCGCTCAAATCCAAAGAATTCCAAATGCATTGAAAATGAACTAAGGAATGAGTTCATAAATGCATTGCAATTCTACATTGCATTTGGAATTTTTCCAACCAAATGCTTGGATTTTTGAAACTAATCCGAAAGAAATGTATTGTACTTCTTTTCCAACCAACTAAACAATCCCTAATTTGAACGTAATTTTTTTTTGGCTCCTCCTTCAGTACTACATTGAAAGAATTTCCATCGACTTCATGTTAAGGCTATAAAAATATGTAGGTGTGTTATGTGTTCATGTGTTATTGCCTTTAATTTGATGAGTTCTTTTTCTTTTGAAATTGCCCAGTGATTACGATTGCCTTTTTTTTTTGCAATATTTCCTTGGTTGATGGGTTCAGGATGTACCCTAGACTGCAAATGCAAATAAATCTCCCAAAAAAATAGTTTTTTCTTTTTTTTTTCTTTTAAACACGATCAAGAAAATATTTTACTCATGCAAAAAGAAGAAGAAGAATGTACTTAAGTTAATAATAGAGAAATCCACCTAAATGCGCTCAAATTGGTTGTTTGTGAACTATATAAAATGTTTTGTTCCGTAATTGTTCTATATTTATAAGGGACTCAAATTTTTGTCTACATTGAAAATGATCTCTGTATTCAAACTTATAAATCCTGTAATAATTAAAGGTAAAATGGTTTGGTGGAGATGGATGAATGACAAAAAAAAAAAAAAAAAACAAAAAGAGAAGTCAAATAAGAGAAACAAAGATTTATCTGAGCTTTAATGGCGTTCAGCTGGTCAGGCTGTTTCTGATGACCTGACTAGGGGACTGTTTTTTTTATTCATGTAGAAGATTAACCTCATTTTGTACTTGTTATGGCCACTATCTATTATGTATATCCAGCCATAGTTTATCTTGTGATTGCTTCACCACCTTGTAACAAAAAATGCTTTGTTCTAACCCATTTTATACGAGTATATTATATTTGTTTATCTTATTTCGCCTTTGATTATTAGTGAACTATATAATAATGAGATTACAGGCCAAACATTTTTTATTTCTTTAAAAAGATCTACGAGAAGAATCAAACTATGTAAATACATTTATATGATCAATCATGGTTGCACTAAGTAAAACACATTATTTTTCTGCTACTGTTGTGATCACTATTCCTCTACTAATGCAGTTACAACATGCTGTAAAGCAAGAGCTGCTCTTGATCTTCTTCGTGAAAGAAAAGATAAATTTGACATTGTAATCAGTGATGTTAATATGCCCGACATGGATGGTTTCAAGCTCCTTGAGCACGTTGGACTTGAGATGGATTTACCAGTTATAAGTTAGTTATACCTATCCCCATTTTTTTACCAGGGTTAAATTTATAATATTCTTTAATCCAAAGACAATTTCTCTATCTCAATATCTATGCAGTGATGTCAGTGGATGGTGAAACAAGCAGGGTTATGAAAGGTGTTCAACATGGTGCATGCGATTACCTTCTTAAGCCCATAAGAATGAAAGAGCTAAGGAACATATGGCAACATGTTTATAGAAAGAGAGCACATGAGTTGAAAGATTTGGAGAGTCATGAAATCATTGATGATATTCAAATCCTAAGAAGTGGGCTTGAAAAGTTTGATGACAAGCTATTGGTGAGTACGTCCGAGATGATCTCTCTAGGGAAACGAAAAGATTTGGACACTAGAGAGTTTAGTGATCAAGATTTCTATGATTCCGTGACTGTGAAGAAAGCCAGAGTGGTTTGGTCAATTGATCTTCATAAAAAATTTGTAAACGCTGTGGATCAGATAGGTTTTGATAGTAAGTAACTAACCATTCACCGTTGTTATCAGAAATTCATTATTTTTCACAGCTCAATCAGCGTTAAGATTTATTTTTAGAAAATATTTGCATTTTCTTATTAGATGATTTGATCCAATGTTTTCAATACGTAAGTAATATTTCATTTGATATTATTGATAATGTATATTTCCTTTGTTCTGCAGAAGTTGGTCCAAAAAAGATACTTGACTTGATGAATGTGCCTGGATTAACAAGAGAGAACATTGCCAGCCACTTACAGGTACCTCCTCCCCATGTATTTGAATGTACAATTTGTAAAATTCAAGCAAGAAAAAATGCAATACTTGCAGTTAATTTGCTTTTCAATGGACATAGATTCATGAAATACTTTTTTTGTATTCGACAATAGGCTGGATATATTGATGTGAATCTTAAAATTTACGGCCGTTAAAAGTCTTTTGGAAGTTTGTGTTTTATGGGATATTTGGTTAATTTTATTTTTAGTTTTTTTATTTTTTAAATTTATTAGATGTATGTACGTCCCTAGATGTTACCTTTTTATTAAAGTTTGATTTAGGCATAGACCCCACTTATTATTAAAGAAATGCTTTCTGGCTACATGTGATCTATTTCCTCTACTTTCGGGCTATCTTTGACGCTCCTATATTTTCTAGGATTAGTAGCCATTTATGGCCTTAGTTATGAACTGGTCCACCATTGGACATCTTATGCGACTTTTATTCCAACGATTTTTTCTTTCTTCTAGTGGCTTTTTTTGTTAATCATTTCTCCAACTTATATTCTGATTATCTTTTTTCATGCCACTGTTTATCTAGTGCGACTACTCTATTATCTTCTAGGAGAACCGATTTATTTTGTGGATGATTCAGTGGAAATTTCAATTTGTCAATATCAACTAAACTATACTTTGATGCTAAATTTGTCAGGCACAACTTTGGAAATGTCAAAAGTTTTCAATCGTAAAATATAAAATACTTATTTATAGCAATCAAACTGTAAGATGATGTTTAGTTCATTTTATTAAATTTATTTAAATTTTGAATTTCTTATGGAGTCTATATACATTCCTAAGGTTTATATATACATAGATCCCCATTTTACTTTTGGTAATTTATGGAGTCTATATACATTCCTAAGGTTTATTATATATACATAGATCCCCATTTTACTTTTGGTAAGAAGAATACTTGCGGTCCTCCAATAAATATTTTATTGAACAATTCTTGACATTTCCAATCTAGTGGTTTTTTTTTTTTTTTTTTTTTTTTTTTTTTCCCTTCCACATTTTGCAGGCTATTGAGTGCATCTCTATTTGTTTTGGGAAGGCCATTATTTCACGATTAATTGCAAGGATTTTTAGTTGACTTTGTGTTTATAATCTGGGGTTGACATATTCAAATCTCTCTGCCAAAAATAAAAATTTAATTTTGGATGTGAAATTCTTTTTGCTTTAAGGATTTAGTTGCTTGATCATGTGAAGAACATTTTAAAGAATTTTGATATGTTAACTCCTTATATGAGCATTGATGTGTGCTAGAAAATTCACAGTGGTGGAGTAATGAATTATCGTCTTAGTGTTAAACAAGAATTTAATACACACTCAGATAAATAGAAAATAACCAGTATTGACACCAGAAATATTTACATGAAAAACCAGTAAAAGGAAAAAGCTACGGGGCCTAGCCCAGCTGAAGAAATACACTGTAAACTGGATATTACATGTACAGTCCCTTGTCCCACAAGTGAGAAAGGGATGAACACTTTTTGGAGTTACAACGTCGGTGCACTAATAAACTTGTTGTAAAAAGTAGGAGGCCTATGGCGATCAGTAGAGATCGACAGGTATCGATGGCGGTCGACGGTGGTCGACAGCAGTCGGCGCTGGTTGACAGAGGTAGGAGTGGTGCTGGACTTCAGCTCATTCTCAAAGCTTCAAGTTCTTTCTCAAGCATTTAACTCTCTTCCCATTAGAGAGGTGGGGTTCTATTTATAGAGTTTTTGGTGCAATGAATGTAGAAATATGCGAGGGTGGCTAGAAGCTTGAGAGATAACTTAAATCTTTGAGAAGGAGCTGAGTCCAGCACCACCTCTGTCACCATTAATCGTCGTTGGCTGCCGTCGACCACTGCCAACCGCTGTCGATCACTGACAACTGTTGTTGATTGCTGTAGACCAAAGTCGACCGCCCTCGAGCACTACTGTCGCACGTCAACCACCACCGGCCGTCATCGACCGATGATCATCGTCGATCACCAGCAATCACTGTTAACCACCATCGACTGGAAGTCGTCAGTCTATATTGTAACTTGGAAAATCTAATAACAATTTCTCATCTGTGGGACAAGGGGTCTTTGTAATCATCAACCTATAGTGGATTTTTAGATTTGGGTCAAACTCGTGGTTTTTTCTCTTTACGGGCTTTCCACGTAAAAACTTATGGTGTCATTACTGGTTGTTTTCTTTTACCAGAGTATATGTTGAATTTTCGTGCAATGCTAAGATAATAATACATTACTCTATCGTCACAAATTTTCTAGCACGCATCAGTTTGCTGCCGTTTGTGGGAATTTGAAAAGATTTCCTTTATTTGGAATAAAGAAGGCGAAGATCAAATGATAAAAGAATTTCAGTGGATTTAATTTTTTTAACACATATTTATCAAACATTATAGCCTCATAAATATTAATATAAAAATTAATAAGAATTTTGAGTTTTTCAATTTTTTTTATAAGGTGGAATACTAAAGGCTAGAAGGAGGAAATTTATAGGATGGAAGGCGGAAGGCCAAACGACAAGGGAATTATGACATATTAATTTTTTTTTAATTCAATTACTTTTAATGTTATGACTCATCTCAAGCCTATAATTAGAGGAGAAAGAAAGTGAAATCCTCATCTCTGCCCCTAGCATATGATCTGGGATTTCTTAAGAGAAGAAAGTCGTCCTCATCTTGCATAGCAGACGAGCAACAAGATTTTCTTTCACTTTGTCGCCAAAAGGAAAGTCATCCCTGTCCTACGTAGCAGGCAAGTACGAGATCTTCTTTCACGTTGCGCTGAAGAGGAATGTCGTCCTTGTTCTGTGTAACTGGCAAGCAACGAGATCTTCTTTCTCGTTGTGACGAAGAGAAAGATCATCCTCATTCTATGTAGCAGGCGAGCAACGAGATCCTTCTCGTTGCGGCGATGAGGAATGTCATTCCCGTCCAACCTGATAGTTTTCTTTTACCTGAGTGTTTGTTAAATTCTCGTGCAACGCTAAGACGATAATTCATTACTCTACCGCCGTGAATTTTCTAGCACGCATCAAGCACGAAATTTTCCTATGAATTATTTCCTTCTTTCTATCCCATCTCTTCTTTTCTTTTTTATCCTTGTTCTTTCATTATTACTTTGAAAGAGTAATTTTGTATCTTCAAAATTGATAAAATCTTTATTTCCTTCAATAGCCTGAACTTTAATGTGCATACTTTTCTTCTTCCCTAATTTCTATTATTTAGTTTCTAGTAAATGTCTATTGGTTTTGTTGACTAACTTGATTTTTATCATGTTTCAACTATTATTAAATGTCATGATATATTGTTTAATATTCTATTAATTGTCTTAAATATTTTTGTAAATGGTTTCTTCGTTATTTGGCATCCCGTCATAAATATTCATCACAAACCCGAAACCCTAGTTTTCTTACTACTGTACTCCTGCATGCTTCACTGAAGTTACTTTCAAGGATGGGTGTTGAAGACTTAAAAAATTTGGTGCCCTACATCCAATAATTTCCCATTAGTATTTTTAACAAGATTTACACTTAACTTAACACAAACAACCCTATATGTTTCTTGATAAATCTAAACATATTTTACTTAAATTGTTGTTTTTGAGCTAGCAACTCCTCTTTATGTTTTTATTGTGTACATCTCAAAACAAACACTGCTCAAATAATTTCCACACTTATACTCGCTAGGAAACTCTATTAGACATATTGATCCTTAACATATGATTATGAGAGTATTTTTAAGAGTATATTACACTAGACTCTTTTCAGGCAATCCTACTATGTAAGTGGTTTTTGTTGTATATGTTAAAGTGGTTTGCACATTTGGACTCATTTTTGGAACAACCTATCACTTATATTTTGTCTATTTTTCTAAGATTTTATGTGTAATCTTAAATCAATCAATTTATATTCTCTAGGGTTCTATTTTATATAAATCTTTACAAATGGATGTTGTTACGACTCTACTTTCTAGACCATTGGTGATTAGTTTTCTTATTGAAATGGACATTAATATTTTTCTAGAAAAGGTTTGGATTGGCTACTTATAATTTGATATAATGTAAATTTTGTAAAATAGTTTGGCATAACAACTTTGAATGTCTCAAAGCTATCGTCAAACTAATCAAATGAAACATCCTGGTACAAAAGGTGTGTACATATGATCAAATTCTACATTCATATGATGTTAAAGCTCTTTTTAGTTTAGATCAGGCGTATGCATAAACCTAGCTACTCTAGATCTTATCATTTAATAATCACCTTCATAACTTGCCCCTACTACTATAAGCCCTAAAAATTTTGTATGCTCCACATCAGCATGCATAAACAGATCATAATCCTTCTAACATGTTAACTCCTTATCCTCCTATTAATTAGGACATCATTGAACCTGTTTCTAAGCAAACATACTATTCTCATCAATGACTTCCAATCATGGACATCTAGGTTGATAGAAGGTTCCAAATCTCAGGTGCAATAGGAAAGGAATAAATTTTATTATCACTCTGTAATGTTCACTAAGCTTTAAGCAAGGTATTATAAAAAAGAGTTATTTGGTTTTTTCTCATTAATGGATACGAACTAGGATTCAAAATTGGTCCTAATGAAAAATTTTACTGAGTGAACCGAATGGGTTTGAATTTTGACCAGATACACCAATAGTTAACCCTATTTTCAATCCAAAATATTTAAGCTTATAGGGGTACTGCTACGTGTTATTGTTTTAACCGAATGTAGCTTGCATCCCAAAGCTTTATAAGCCTTAACAATCTCCCTCTCTTATGTTAGTTCTCTACACAATGTCACTTCACCTCAAACGAAAATATTATCATGTACCATGCACCAAGAGGCTACTCAACCATTTAAAGGATTCATATAGTTCTCAACCATGATAAAAATTGACACAATTTTCCTAAGATCATAAATCAAATGAATCAATTACATTAGCCGAATCATCAGTTCCGATGCCATTTACTAGTAAGTTTAAGGAAATCAAAGTTAGGCAAGATATATCAGTGATAAAACCTATTTTTATTAAAGCTTAACACTATTGTTGAAGGCCAACATACAACAACATATTTTTTAACTACTTGGTATGAGACTAAAATAATAAAGAAGTTTCAAACCTGTATGGAAGTCGTGATCATTCCTCAAGTCCATTATTGTTTTCATTTCCTATGAAATTTAGTCTATTTTGAGCCCCAAAAATAAGGTTAATATGTGCAAGCTTTTCACCATATCTTTGAAAATCACCAGGATTACTGTTTATCCCATATGAATGTAGTTGTCAAGTTGGATAATATGCATTACAAGAAATTACATTACTTCCATCTATAAGGAATTTTTGCTTAGGGTAGAGACTTACAGAAAACATATTTTGGCAATTTTTTTAAGAACAAGAAAGGTGCATTTTACTTAATATACAATAAATACTAATAAATATTTGAAAGAACTTCTCTCCACCAACCTACCCCTTGTGGAAAAAATATATATATATTTATTTGAAAAATCAGATTGGTTTTATATCATACTACTCATAATATCCCTCTCTCCTTTACAGCTGCATTTATCTTTTGTTTGAGCATTTATAATTGGCATTCACTCCAACACTTGGTATCCCGCCTTCTTCGTATAATAATTACAATTTTTTGGAAACTGTTATGCTATTTGAAGTTCTTTTGGTAAATGGACTCCTTTAAATGCAGAAATATCGCATGTACTTAAGTAGAATACAGAAGCAGAATGAAGTTGGAGATTTAGCTGGCAATATGCAACCTGATCACTCTTCAGAGAATCATTCAGAGAGCGTTGGCTGTCAGAACTCTAGAACTATCCATGAAAATAGTGGAGCTAATAGCTATGGGCAGAAAACTCAAAATTTCCATGGGCAGGATATAATCCAGGGTTTTCAAGAAAGTGAACTAAACAAAGCAGACTTACTTCCAGTAAAGCTTAAGAAAGAAGATGTAACAACAGATGTTCACTTTCAAAAGCCGAAAAATGCTTCTCAGCCAGAGCAAATGCTGCCACACAGTGATCAGAAACAGGACTACGCCTCAATTTCAAAGCGGAATGGATGGCATGGAAGTGTTCTATTAAGGCAATTCATGCAATACCCTAAACATGATGAGCCATTTAGCTTCTTGGAACACAATTCCTACTCTTCACAAACTCAAGTGCCTCAGATTCCTCTTTGGCAATTGCAATGTCCATCTCTTGTCTCAGTCAATAGTAGCATTAAAAAAGATGAAACTAAATTTGATGTAAAACCTTCGATCGCAAATTGCAATGGCCATCTCATGAAAATTTTATCAAAAGCGGTGTATGAAGATGATCAACATTCAATTCAGGTGGAACATGCTAATTCTAAAGAATTTGAAGCAGCATATGAACATAAAAAATTAATCAGTTTAATGGAGCACCACTATGAGCAATCTAGAGTCCATGATTTGATTCCTCCTTCAATACATCTAGATACAAAAAATGAAGCAAGTTTGATTACATCATCTGAAGACTTGAACCATCATTCCCTTCATGGCTTTGGTTTCCTAGATAATGTTGGTTTCAATGGTATGGAGTTACACCAGCTTAATGGTTGTGCATCACTCACTGAACTACAGAGTAATTGTTATGATGAGATAGAATTTAATTATGAGTACTGGTACGATCCCTTGGACTACCTTTTGCTAGATGAGGGCCTTTTTGCGTAATAGTTCAGTGCTTCATCCTTAATGGTTTTTGTTTGAGAAATTAATGTATGGAACAACTAGTATCTTTCAGTCTGCCTCAAATTTCATGGACTGATATTTCTAACTGTTGTTTGTTTTTGGTATGATAGCTCGGATTAAATATTATTGAAGGTGTCTCTGTAAAAGTATGAAATATTCCTCTCAAAAATGTTATTAATGGTTTTGCTGCAATTGTAGATGATTGATCTTGCCTTTTACATTTTGCATGGGGTTTTCTAAACTTGTCAAGGGAGCTTCTTGTTGCTTTTGCTAGTAAGTTGATGCCTGATTGTGCACATTTTTTTGTGTACAATCTTACTCTACATAATAAATTTATGAAGGATGTATGTACTTTTATTTACATGTATTCTTGATTTTATATGTTGCCATCTTCTAATTTGCTTTTTTGATCAGCTTTTTTATTGGTTTTATAGGCCCATTCCCAATGATTTCCCACTTTGGATTTCCATTTAAAAATTTATGTTTTCTGTGCTATTCTTTTTTTTATATGTACAAAATCTTCATGCAAAGCTAAAATGTAATCTTTACCGACATTGACTTGGTGTCATATTTATGAAATTAAATGTTTAATGATGGTTTTAAATCTCTATCCATAAGCACTTTTAACCCCAATATCATTAATTAAATTAAAAAGAAATTATGAGCAAATTTTACAATGGTATGATTAACTTTAATCAAATTTGTAATGTAAGATAATTTAGTAATTTGAATGATGCCCTATAGAAAACCCCATCTATGCCAACAAGTTTATTCTTAGTGTTTTACTTTTTTTCATAGTGTCACGGAAGTGCTACATTGTTTTTGGACTGACATTCTTTTTGGACTGAATAGTGTGAGCTAGCTAACAGCTGAAGAATCTTCTAACTTTTCCTACATTTTTTTCTTAGTTCCAAAGTTTGGAGAAGACTTATTTCTTTACCTTGAAGTAAGCAAGGAAACCGTTAGTTAAAATGCTTATTCAGGAAGAGAACATAAAATTGTTTACGACCTATCATGAAGAAACACACAAAGGATTTGTTCATTTTAGTTTTGAAATCTTTGCCCCCTACTTTCAAACAAATTTTGCAAGTGATCACTTATCGTCTGCTAAAATTTGTACTCACATGACCAGATCATTCAGACCGGTTACTCAAATGTATAGTCAGTCTCCAAAAATTTAATATTATATAGTTGTCATGAATTGTAATTAAAGCATAAGCTTTACTTGAATTTCTTGCAAACTTTTTTGAAATTGGCGTTAAGGAATAGTTGAGTAAAAAAAACAATGTTTTGTATCCTTATTTAAAAAATAACACAATGTAATTTCTAGTGTCACATTGTAAGTACAATAAAGATAATTCAAGAAAGTGTGAACAATTTCAAAATTTTTCATTAATGCAACTACAGTTATCACATAAGCTATTGTTAATTATCAGTTATTGGCCTTTTGTATTTTTGCGTATGGATCACTCTGGTGCATTTCCCCTTGCATAAAACAATTCATACTATGTATGATCAAATAATTTTCAAAATTGATTTAGGCAAAGGTCGGAACAACATTTGTGTGAAATTTCAACTTGATGAACAACATTTATAGATATGGGTTATTCATAGATAACGTCACAAACAATGGTTCATAATTTGTTAATTAGAAGTATGAAAAATTTATCAAAACCAAGGAATTTCTTTGAATTTTATGCAATTAATACCCAAAGACAAGTGGTCAAGTTGAATCAGTGAAAAAGAAAAATAAAGGGTTTCTAAGGAGGAGGATGGTTTCTTGGAGTGATTCTCTGGTTCTCCTAGTTTGATCCTCCGAAATCATCTAGATTTGTGCTCGTGGTTCTTTGAGATGGCTGATTTCCTTAATTGGCCCTCTTTCCTTGAGGCAGTAATGGGTAACACTTCTTCTTCTAAACTTCCTTGTAATAATTGTTTGTTTCTAGTTGCCTTTAAAGAGCATTTGGAGGATGAGAAAACTAATGGTTTGATAAAGAAGGCTATGAAGAAAAACAGGAAACCCACATTATTTCTTAGTGAAGAGGAGACTTCAATTCTTACTGAACCTCTTAAGTTTACCTATTGAAATGGAATATGATCCTCTTTAATGTAACAAATATCCTATGTTTGTTCGTTGTTTATTCAATTGCTTCGTTGCTCATCCTAATCTGAAATCTAATAACTATAATGCTAAGGAAAAAGAAGATGCTCATGGAAGGAATTTAAACTAAATCAAGATTTAAATAAGGAGGGTTTAGAGAATGATTTACCAAATGAAAAAAATCTTGATATTCTACAACCTAGTGATGTTGTTGATATTGAACGCATGGTTTCTATTGGGCAACAACAAATTGCTAATCAAGGGTTACATATTGTTAATAGAAGTGTTAATACAAATAAAGAAAGTTTGCTAGTTGATAATATAGCTGAACAAATATATCTTGATAATCATATTGTTGTTTCTAAGTCTCCTATTGTAGATGATGCTCTTGTTCTAACTAGAAATGAACTCGAAGTGGTTTGGATGATACAAAGATCATCTAGAAAGAGGAAGATTGAAGGTAGTTTTGAACTCAGTTATGTTAATTCAAAGATTCTCAATGTTCAGCAATTTGGGAAGAATCTTGATTTGAATGAATTAGCTTTTTCCTCTAAGATCACTAGAGGAAGGAAGGACAATGATGAAGTCTAATTCCTTGCTTGATTCACTCCTTTTATGATTTTATTGATGTTTAAGTTTATTATTTGGATTATTATAGGGATCACGAAAACAACTGCCTCAAATCGATTAAAGAATATTAGAAAGCATAAACTGAATTTCTTCAGTATCTTGGAACCTATGATTGATAAGAAAAATAATGATAAGTACAAAAGGAAGATTAGTAATTTTAATCCTGTTGCTAATCTCAATAACAAGATATGGTTCCTTTGGGGTATGATGTAAAGATTGATATTTTAATCAATTATGCACAATTTATTCATATTAAATAGTTCATAAATGATTCTTTTTATTATTTAACTGTTGTTTATGCAGGTTGTTCTAAGAATGATAGGTGGAATTTTTTGAATCATCTAAGGGCTCTCAGACATGATAATGAGGCTTGGTTTGTTGGTAGTGATTTCAACATGATTGCTTCTATTGCTGAAAAAAGGGATGTTAATCCTCTAAACATGAATATGATTTCAAATTTTAATTACACTCTTTTTGTTGCAAGCTTAATTGATTTAGGATTTAAAAGGAATCCTTTTACTTGGTCGAGAGGTTTGGTTTTTGAAAGGCTGGATAAATTTGTTTCAAATACCAAGTGGATGAATAATTTTCACTCTTACAATGTTCATCATTTGGCTATATGAGTTTCTAATCATTCTTCTTTACATGCTTGTATAATACTATTGAGGTGAGGGATGAATACTGTTAACTAGGTCATCTTTGAAAATGTCCCAACAATATTTATAAAACTCCACCAAATAACCATCAGGGCCCGTAGCTTTTCCATCATCCATATTTTCTATCACATCTTTAATTTCATCTATCAAAGGAATCTTGGTAAGGTTTCCATCATTGCAAATAGAAGAGGTATTATAAAGCTCACAATTATTCTAAGAAAGAGAAGAGCCATTACTACTAAACATCATAGAAAAGAAGTTGATTCCATCCCTTTCATTATCCTTAACATTAGTTAAAACAAGATCATCACCTCTTTTAATATTAGGAATCAAATTATTCTCTCTTATTTTTTATACAAGCATGAAAATAAGTAGTGTTTCAATCTCCATCAAGCATATGAAGCTTTTTAGCCTTTTGAGCATAAAAATTCTCTTCCATGTTTAGAACATTATTTAAATTATTTTGACCTTGCATTGAAACTTCCTAATTAACCACCTTATGACAATAATAAAATTCTAAAGGTTTAACATTCTCTTCAGCTTTAGAAATAATATCTTTAACTGCCCAAAAACATTCCAATTCCAATCTTTAAGCTTCTTAGCAAGATTCTTTTGAAGCATCCATAAATTAAGACCAGAAGTACCAATCATAATAATATTCCAATTATCAGTAATAAACTTTTTAAAAGAAGAATGTTGGATCCACATATTTAAAAACTTAAAATGATAAGGAATTTTAAAGATGACCTAGTTAACAATATTCAAGATTTCTTCAGAGGTATTGATTTGCCTAAATATTTTAAATCTTCTACAATTATTTTGAGTCCTCAAGAGAAAGATGCTAAAAATTGAGATTCTTTTGGACTTATTAGTCTTAATAATGTTGTTTCCAAGGTTATTTATAAAATTATAGTGAGAGAATTCAACGTTTTTTGCCTATGATTATTAGTAAAAATTACTTTGGTTTTATGGAAGGCAGGAATATTTGTGATAATGCCTTAACTATGTAAGAGCTTCTTATGGATTTTGATAAGAAAGGTAATAGTGGTAATGTGATTTTTAAGATGGATATCAAAAAGGCTTTTGATGCCATTAGATAGGAAATTATTATTAATATTTTACATACCATTGGTTTTAGTGAGGAGTTTTGGTTTACTTATTAAAATAATCCTTGATATTAATTTCTAATCTTTGTTGATTAATGGGAATAGTTGCAGTTCCTTTAAAGCATCTAAAGGTATTAAACAGAGAAATCATTTATCACATATTCTTTTTATTATTGGCTTTGATTATTTGTCAAGATGTCTAAATGCTTTATACAAGCAATGTCATAGTTTAAATTATCTTCATCATGGGAAGATTAGTATTTCTCATCTTTACTGTGCTGATGATTTAGTTATTATTACTAATGCTAATAAAAGAGCTATCAAACTTCTTTGGAAGGTTTTGGGGAATTTTCAGGATGCTTGTGGATGGAATTATAATATTGCTAAGTGCTTATTTTATTATTCCAATCTTATTTTTTCTAGCAAGAAGAGCTAGATAATGGATAAACCAAGTGTAATAAAGGTACTCTTTCTTTAATCTATTGGGTTTCACTTTGGATAAGAAGAAAAAAAGGGTGCATATGTTTTATTCTTTGCTTGATAAGGATAGGAAGAGGATTCTTTCATAGGAAAATAAATTTCTCTCTTTAGG